GAAGTTTTCTTGTCAAAACATGACCCTGTTTTAGAGGGTTTCATGAAATTGTTTACATTACACACCCAAACACAAAAATAGTAAGATTCTGGATTGCATTTCACTGAATTCAAGGGACTCACAAGAGACGTTTTTATAAATATGTTTAAAATTCATTCAACAAAGCAAGCTCATTTCCCAAAATGTAGATTAGTTCCTTTAACAGTTTAGAAACGTAACACAAACTAATCTACACCTCAGTATGTATTATAAACAGTTGGTCAGTCTTGAATACAACTGCGAGAACATATGCAGGAGGCTTTTATAGTAAGTCATCTTGTAGATTTCAGTTATGAAAACCCTTGTGGCTTAAGGGGTAAACAGTCTGGCAGCTCTTTGCTCAGAAGACACAGTGCACCTACTGCGTGCTCGCCCTGTCACATCGCCGCTACGCCCACCACCCACTTTCCAAATTCCCCAGCTGATGCATTTGAAGAGACAGAGAGACTCTGTGCCCAGAGAAACACCATTCTGTGCAACTGTGACCGTGCTCTGTCTGTGGGAAGATGTAATGCCCGGAAAGACTGCGTTTCCTGTCAAAAAGCAGAGACGAGCATTTTTCTGTCGTATTTTCTAATTGTAACAAGCTTCTGATCTGATTGTGTTTGATTAGTGAGACAGTGGTGGAGAGCTGCAGGGGGGTATCATCATGTCACTTCAAGTTTTCTTTAAAAACCCAGGCTTAGAAATATAGAACATGGAAGCACATCACAAGGAGAAGTCCACAGAGAGATATTATGGCTCATCCTCCAAAACAAAACACTGTCACAAAAAAAAGAAACATTCATCAGCTTCTTGGTTTGGGAATATAAACAACATAATTCCACAAGTCACAATTCCCACACTGCTTTTTCATGTTTGGCTCAAGGGCTGTTGAAGGGAAGAGAATCCCTGTAGCGCTCTGCTTATATTCTCTGTTGCCTGTCTGTGTAACGTGATATGCTAATATCCATTCATGTGTGCATCTACATTTTTGTTAGCATGCTGTGAGGAATGCAGGTATGCCGAGGTGGCAGGTTATAATCAGTGGAGACGGAGCTGTGAGTCACTCGGTACATACCAGACGCTGGAGGTGATGAGTAGAGTAGCCGAGGTGTTGTCATATATAACATTTTGGCAGAAACAGGGCGGGGTGATGAGCTTCATCAGTTTCATAATGTTATTACAAATGTATGCAAAGCTGCATATTAAATAATCATATTGATGATTAAAGCTTAAGTCACTGAGGAATGTTTAAATATATCAACTTGGCCAATATATCAGTCTTATGATCTTATTTGATCTTATAAGAATATAGTCCCATGCTATGCATGTACATGGTGTTGATGTTGTATTAAGACCAACTTGATGGTGACGTAGCATACAGTGAGTGAAAAACTTAAGATAATCTATAGATTTTTGTTGTCGGCTTTGATTTATTTTAGTAGTTGTTGGGGCTCATGTCCTGTCATTACAGCTGAGGGCTCCAATTCTGTGGCCCGGTACACTGGCCCACCATGAGAGAGAGCTAACTCTATGCCTGGGTAACTCGGGACACATGTACAGTATCACTGAATTAACTGACTGGCCAGGACAGTACCCTTCAATAAGACTACCTGCAAATGTTTATGAGAAAATAAGGCCGCCTCAGAATTTCTCCCCCAGCTGACATCTCCCATGACCTGTTTTCGTTATAGCTGATTGCTGGTGACTCGCTGCAGACTGCTAAATGGAGAAAGGACAATACACAGATGAGAGCGCACACAATGTGATGATAGCTGATGGCACAGACTCTGACCCGAGCAAAACAATGACTAACACTAATAGTCTAATTTGAGACTTGTGGTTTTGGCCGGTGTATGCTGAATGAAGAGAATAGGTTAGCTACCCAGATGTGCAGGAAACTGTTACCTATAGTTATGTAAAGGACAGAAGAGAGGAAGTTGGTGCTCTCCTCAGATATGTTGAAGAAGTCGGGCTGGAAACCACTGCAGTGACAAGATAGGAAAAGCCACAGAGTACAGGATGAATAGGTTGTGGTCCCCATAGGAGTAGCTAATATGAGACAGGGTGACATCTCCAGGGGTGATGGAAAGGGAGCGGGAACTTTACTACAAGACACAGCCGTTGGGCTAGCTGTGAGCATTCTGCTGGGTGTCCCTGCTGAGCCTTCACAACAAACAAACAGCTTGTGTAGTGGAAAGTCCCAAATGGCACTGTGAGTGAACTTTCACATCACAGAAACCTCAAGTCTTATACACAGAGTCCTACCCTGAGGATTCTTCGACTGTACTAACCCAGCTCAATATCCTCGCTCTCATCCAGGCTTGTGACATTTGGAGAGGGCCTTGGGGGTGGGGGGGATATGCCTCTCCTCTCATTAGAATTCTCTCATCAGTCTTCCCAAAGGAGCAGGGGCTTGACATGTCAGAGTTTATTAATTACCCCCAGAAATAATATTGACTGGGACCTTCTGCTGCCTCTCTCCCTGCTGCAGTCAGTGTCTCCACTCTGCTGCCTCCAAATTCCTCCGGTGTCGTGCCTGGACACATTACAGGACACTGCGGCACAGCGTGGAAGCTTCAACACACAGTGTCTCCATTGACTATGCACTTGGCCTGAGCTTTCTCGTCACTGCAGCTGCAAAGCACCACACACACACACACACACACACACCTGCAGCCTTGGGGAGACAAAGCACACTGCTTTGCTTAATTATGAGGTGAGAGCAGCTCTGTGCAGGCATGCTTTGCTGAGATTCCAACTTTTAGTGTGAAAATAATTAAAATAAAACACCTTTCAACCTGCAAACATCTCAAGACTTATTGGTTTTCAAACCTTGCCAGAAAAGAGTGCCTAAACCAATGTGATGTGAGCCCCATTCTGAAAGCTCAAACACAAGGACTGGTCAGAGATGCTGCTCCTATGCTTTCTTCTGTCAGGAGAAGATGAGTGATTGATCAATCAAAGAGTAGAACATGGATGTGTAGGTGTTAAAGGTCTTACTGCCTGACTCTAGGTTCCACTTCCCAAGATCTGATGCATCCAGTGTAGCTTGACTTAAGCACTCTTTTTATACAGTAGCTCGATATCAGTCCAGGTCTTTTTTATTTTTTTTATTTTTAACAGCCAGTACACTAAGACCCCACACAGGCTCCTGAAGAATCGCTTGTTTTGTGTTATAATCTTATTGATTATACACAGGTTAAAGCATGAGCATATGTGTTAGAAGGCTAGTTCGGAGCACTGTATTGTGTTGGAATGGTGGCAAAAAAAATCATAACCCACACCTGAAGCCCGTTTGCTTTTGACTTAAATTTAAAAATGTATTTTTTTTTTTCCTCTGGTCTAGATGTTACCCTGGCATTTATTTTCTCAATGGGTTAGGGAGGAAATGTGTTGTCATGGCCAGCCTTGTTTTTAAAATCCAGGAGTATTGTGCCTCCATGTGGACATGTCAGGTATTACACTGTGAGCTCTGTGGCAGGACTAATGAATGACCAGGATGTGAGTGTGTTCTTCCATTGTCTCTCAATGAACTTTGCACCGATGAGCACATTCCTGACGTAGCAGTCATGAATGAAGAAATGTGCCTCAGATCTTTCCTTGAATGGTGACGCTATCCAGGAGCCATGTTCTCATAAGTCTTTGCAGACATGTCTGGCAAATCTAATATCTGTCTTCATTTTGTTTTTCTGCAGTCACAATGGTCCCACTACTGTTTTTGGTGGTAACCACAACATCACCTAATTCCAGTAGCAATAGCAACCATACACAAGGTAAGAACAAGAGGAAGGGCTGTGAAACTAACACTCACTCATAATTTGTAATAGTAACAAAATCCCATTACTACCGACTACAGTCATCAATTTTCCCTAAGATATGATTATTATGCATTTTCTGCAGTGCATGCATCTACTTGGTAGTAGCCAAAAGGCTGTTCAGCCTTATTATTACTGGATCACAATGAACTTCAGCAGCCCTGGACAGTAATTTATGGCTTATTGTGTGTCTTTATAAACACAGCTGATAGCTGGCTGTGTGGCTGTTAACTCTTGGCTCAGTCTCTGTTTTTAGAGCCTCTCATTTTCTGTTAGACATACCGACAGGACAAAATGGGCTGATACTCATCTCTGCAGACAAAATACTGCTGAAGCCAGTTATTAAATCAGACCTGAGGCCAGAAGAGAGCATGGGAGGTGCATTGCTGTGCCAAGTATTGATTTAGTTTTATCACACATGAATGCAGCCAACGGGCACACAAATATATGTGCATGTGTGTTGTTGGCCTTGCCTGCCCCTTCCTGCTTCTTGGTTGACCTTGCTTCCTGATCCCCAGCTCTGCCTCTCCTTCTTCCTCAGAAGATGCAACATCCCACAGCCACCACATCCTCCCCACCATGCTGGTCCTGTCCCTGCTGCTGCTCGTCATCGCGCTATTAGCCTGGTACTTCCTCAGGTAAAAATGCCCACCATGCAAGGACTCACCCGTATCACCTCACCCCCTCCCTGATCCTTACTGACTGGCTGGCTGCGTGCCAAGCTGAGGGGCGGAGCTCAGGGTGACACTTCCTCCTTTAGTCACTGAGGTGGAGTTCAGTCAGGAAGTGCAGCTAGCTGACTCCCTGTCATGCTCAGTAAGAAGAGAAAAGGCTGTGACGGTGGACGTAGGCAGGCAACAAGAGACAGCAAAGAACTAATTCTTTACCACATTTGGACTAGAGTGCCATCTTTCCAAGACATCAGCTAATGAGAAAGAACAGCTTCTCAAGCTTCAGATGGTAGGATGGATAGATTTGTGTTCATTTGTGATCATCTGAGAGATCTCGAGTATTGTTTAGCTGCAATCAAAAATAAAGTCTAACCTTATTTGATCATGACATCATCTAATCTTAAGATTTTATTTTTTGTGTACTTGGGTCTTTTAAAATGTTTTATTTTTTTCCTTTAGGTTAAAAGGCCAGAAAAAACCTGTTGTCACAGCAGTTGACAAGAAAATACTGAATGGCATCCTGGAGGAGCAAGGTAAAATGGTTGTACTGTAAATTAAACATTGTTATAAACAGCAAGATTGTGGGTTGTGAGAGCAGCAGGCTGGCAGGCCAAAGAAGCATAGTGAGAACCTAAATAAGACACAGAGGAACATGAGACAAAGAGAAAGAAGATGAAACTGATAGCAAGTGCGAAGGAGCAGCTATATTGTTGTGTGTGCGGGTTGTCCCACCATTGCTGTGTGGTTGTTGACTTCCTGTGGTTAATGTGAAGAATGGCGCCTCTTTAAAAAGCTTTTTCACCTTGCATGTAAAATTTGTATAAACTGTTAATGCAGTTGTGCAAAGATCAGAGTAGCTGTCACAGTGCTCTGAGCTGAGATGTGTGAAGCATGAGAGCAGCTGTTGGAAAGAAGATGTCTTGAGTTCTTTAAGAAGTATTTTATTTTCAGACCATACTAAGGATTAATTTGTAACATTACTGTAGCTGCACCACACACCTACTAGTAGCTGTACCAAACACTGGATAGATTTCAAAATATTGGTCTCCTGGTGATCCTCATGACTGTAAGCATGCAACGGAAAGGCATTACAGTATATTTTAAGATATAGTTTCAAATCGGTTCAGGATGCAGATTCTCTGCATACACACCCTGACAGTTTTATAGAAAATGCTGTGTTATTTACAATTCAACTAATGCGATTTTGTTCTGTTGTCAGACTCTGCTCATGTAAGTGTTGCGTTTTAGAGCTTGACTACAAGTACTGAGTCGTTGTAGACCAGTGTACCACAAAGTCACGTATACAGTATAGGGTGGTGGTTTCAAGGCTCATGTTACTAATGCCCTACTTTCAGTTCTTTTCAACCTACATTCCTAATTGTGAGCGCTAATAGCATACTTATTCGGGTGCCTAAGAGAGGTTGCCATCGGAAAAACCTGCCTACAGGGTGCTGTAAGTGGCTTTCCCCTCGGGTCCTTTGGCTCTCTAACATCTGATGTTTGATGATCACTGAAGACTTGTGCTCATTTTGTTACTCGTACAGTGCTGGCACACATACACCAAAGCACCTTAAGCTTTGGATAGCAGCTTGGTAATCATTTTGGTCTTTGATACAGTTTAAAACTCTTTGCCGAGTAAGTTTCTAAGTCAATTGTCTCACCCAGTGATTCTTAACCAGAGGTACTTCTATCCAGAGGGATGCAGTTCCCTGGGGGTATGTTGAAACTAAAATTAAATAGCAGCTAATTATGAAAAAACAGCTGTAATATTTAACTAAAGCAAACCATTTGAATACTTAGCCAAAGTTAGTGGATAAATAGTTGAAACACTCAGATACAAGCAATGGATAAATGGTTTGCTTATATTAAATGGACAAACTATAACAGAAATTATAAAGTAGCTGGTAGAAATGGTTAAACAGTTGATAGAATTGACTTAAAGTTAGCAAAAGTAATGGCTGAAATAGACATCCAATGAAGAAATGCTTATAAATAAATAGCGAAAAGTAAATGGCATTCAGCTTTTGCCTCTTGAACTAATATTATAAAAACTAAACTTGGCCAAACCAACCTGAGTTGTTACAAAGCCTTATTGGAACAATATCCACTTTTGTATAGTTAATAGTGAAAAACACATCATGTGAAAGCAACTCAGACATATTTGGACCATGACTGGTGGTCCTGTGAAGGAGCACTCGAGTTGATCTGACAGGTTTTCTGGGTTTGTCTCATAGAAGTTGGGAACCACTGGTCTAATTAAGCCCAATCCCGTTTTATAATCAGTTTCTCTGAATCGGTCATTTAACATAGCAAATCATTACTATGACACTGACTTGTCAGAACATTAGTAAAAGACTGAGATGATTTTCAAAGTTAAATCAGTAATTTTCTTGAACACAACAATTCACCATCACAGCGTTAAACTCGATCGGTCCAGCAGGGGTCATAAACCCAGTGTCTGCTCTCTGCACAGAACAACAGACGGTGGTCCTTCTGCCCAGATCCCCTTCAGCCCCCAAGACCTACCTCCCCATCCCGGTGGACCACCTCGAGGAGGAGTACAGGCTCCGCTCAGCTGATGATGGCAAGCTCTTCAGGGAGGAGTACAACGTAAGCAGCCCCCTTTATTCTCCGTAAAGTCATAGGGCAGTGTCTTTGTCTGTGCAGGTGCTAAACAAAATAGCTAAATAACATTTACTATAAACTATAAAATACTCTAATCATTATTATCATTAACGTTTGTATCTCCAAAATGCCAAAACTGCCAATTTTTGACTTGGTGTGTTTTATAATAGGTTTCTTATACACAACACTTCAAACTCTTTTGTGCCTTCAAGTGTGGCAACAGTAATACCTAGAAATACAGCATCTAAAATTAAAAGGGATTTCCCACAACTGTGATATACTGTCACACTGTGCGTGACAAATACTATACGCATACACATCCATGCATGAAAAATACCCTTATATCTATTTGTGATTATGATTGAGGAGCTGAAGGAAAATGGTGTGTGATTCATTGTTCATGTAACACACACAAATAGAGGTCCATTTCATGAACACAGAGGAAGCTCAAGTTCTCTGCTTTTAATTGAGGACTGTTTTAGCAGAGGAAGTTAGTCAAGCTCTACATGCTGTACAGGAGGACACAATGCACCAGTCATGAGCTGCTGAAATGTTTTTAGTATGCAATATGTAAAATATGTTGTTTCTGCATTGCAGTCCTTGCCAGGAGCCAACGCCCATGGGACGTATGAGGAGGCTAACAAGGACGACAACAAGGAGAAGAACAGATACCCCAACATTCTTCCCTGTAGGTGTACTTTCTGTTCTGTAAAAACAGTTTTTGACTCGCACACTGAGCTAGCTTCCTGTATGTGTGTGTACGTGCCCTTATTAGCATTTTTTTTTTAAACAGCTAATATATTCATTCACAGTGAAATGGTTCACATTTCTTTTCTACAGTTGGTTCCTTATCAGGTACCATTGTCATTAATTCATTGTGTACATTTTTCTTTACATATACATTGATTCTTAAGAGTAGTTCATCCTCCTGGGAAATCTACTGCCTTGCCAAGAGATAGACAACTAATACCGTCTGTACAATAAGTGCTAGACACCAATCAGCCATAACATTACGACCATCTGCCTAATACTGCATACACTGGGGTCAGTGGTTGTCACTCTGAGGCTCACTGTGCATCTTCTGTGCATCTGTTTGTGTCCATGGTTATACTGTCAGGAAGAGCACAGATGTGTTGACCATTCACCATTCAGTGAAAAACGTATGTAATAGGAGTGAAAACTGGGGTCACTGAGCCAAATCAGCTGCCTCCCCCCTCTAGGTGTGATAGCGCCACTATAGCCGCTGAAGATTTCTCTTCATAGAGACCAGCGTACAGTGTTTCTCATTTTCAACCATTTTAACAAAGACTGAAAATTGAATTTTTTTGAAAAGTTTAATACACAGCAGGTCAACCTCATCATCAGTGAGGCTTTTGGTAGGTAAATAACCACTGCAGACCAGGAACACCCAACAAGACCTGCAGTGTGGGAGATGCTCTGACCCAGTAGGCTATATCCAAAGGAAGAAAAATCTTACTGCTAATTAACACCTTACATCTTTGTTGTTTAAGCTGTCCATAATAAGTTTAAATATGACAATTTTCTGCTTTGATGCTGTTTTTAATGTACTAGAATATTTCTTGGCTGAAAGCTCGTAACCAGTGGAGACTCCAGGGAGATATTCCTCCCACACTATCTCTACACTATTCCTCCCATGTCTCTATGCTAAGCTAAACTGACCTGGCTGCAGCTTCATATTTATAGCATTGATCAACTCGTATAACTCTTGGCAAGAAAGCAAATACACATACTTCCCTTAATGCTGTCCAGTCTACCTGAACACAGTAACTACTGTATATAGCAGCAACAGACACTTGTGTTGTTTTTCCAACCCTCTAATTTTTCCAAGTGTATGTCTCCAACAGATGACCATTCCAGAGTGGTGTTGACTCAGCTGGATGGAAATCCCTGTTCAGACTATGTGAATGCTTCTTACATTGATGTGAGTTACACTTGGTCTTCTTCCTTTCTAGTTCACATTGGCTAAATGGTTGATATCGAAAGTCTATTCTTCATCTTCAGAATAGCACCTGACAAAACAATCTCACTATAAGAGTCTTAGATTTTCCTGGAGGTTTATATTAATTACTCAATATTCTTTACTAACAGGGTTACACAGAAAAGAACAAATTTATAGCAGCACAAGGTAAGCTGCACTGCATTTGGAATTGACACAAGACATTTGTTAATTTTTTATTTAATATAATTTTATTTATTTTTGTCCCAGGCCCAAAAGAAGACACTGTAGCAGATTTCTGGAGGATGATATGGGAGCAGAAAGTAGCGACTGTTGTCATGCTGACAAACCTGAAAGAAAGAAAAGAAGTGAGTTATTTTCAGCCTTATTTCTTGTGTCCGGTGGGTAACACCACTGACTTTGGTATGGTAGGTTGGGGTCTGATTCACTGTCAGGACACAGTGTCAGCTTCAGGCCCTTAATGCTAGCCGCCTAGTGAGGTACTACACAAATGCTACGGCCAGGAGGAGTCAGGACACCAGGGAATGGGGGAGATACCATCCTCCCCCATGTCGGAGATTGGTGATCACAAAATTCGATTTTTCTAGGATCATGACGAAGTGAAGTAGTGAGAAATGAATGTTTATTTAAGGCTAGTAGCAAGGAAAGTGGAGGGAAAAAAAAAAAAAGAGTACCTCCTGAAACCAAGCTGATATACAGGAGAAAGGCGGGAGGAAGGATCCCCGGCTTTACTTTTTACTAAGATAGATGACTTACTAACTTAGATAAGTATGTATAGCAGAGTTTTTTTTAAATACGTTTTCTACATTTTCTTTTCACTCGAGAGAAATATCTTATCGTAGTATATGCAGGAGCATAGGTGAAACGTTAACTGACCTCTGTTGTCAGGTAATTGCACAAGAGTGCAAGTCACACTAGTAAAATGATCTATCATGCCCTGACAGGAAACTGAACCCCGAGGTGTTAACCACCAAGCTATCCACCAAGCAAATCTTACTGGTTTCTGCTGTTGGTTAACGCATCTTGGCAAGACAGAGGGGATGCTTGGTTGTACAGTGTATCCATGGCAAAACATATAAATAATTCCTGTTTCTTGTCAAAGTTTGTATCTGTTCACACGAGTGAACACTTAATGTTACAAGATCCAGAAGACATTCATTCCATAGCCCAGCACCCTATAGGATCTAGACAATTAAATCAGGTAGCCTATGATGCCTCTGAGTTTAAATATCAATTTAAATTGATCTGAGATCTCTCTCCAGAGGCGTTGAGTTATACAAGTACAAGACTATTTACCATAATCTGCCAGAAAAGTCTTGTATTGAGTGTTTTCACCTCTCTCACCTGTTAGGCTGACCTTACTGGCTGTGAAACTGACACAAAGCCCACCTCACGTGCAAACTACTTTCTCTCTTGAAAGGACGAATAGCTGCTTTAAGTATTTAATTTACTGAATCACGGCTGTCTGTCATCTCTCCCCAGGACAAGTGTTGCCAGTACTGGCCAGACCAGGGCTGTTGGACCTATGGGAATGTCCGGGTGGCGGTAGAAGACTTCACTGTCCTGGTGGACTACACCATACGCAAGTTCTGTGTACAATATGTATGTTTCAAGTAATATTTATGTAGTTACTGCATTTGTTTGAAATGTAAGTTCACAGAAACATGGGTGGTGGTTATGAAACGCTCCTGCATGCTCTATAATGTAGTTCAATCAACTGGACAATTTCTACTATTAGTAGCAAAGAATTTCAGAAAGGCCTCTGAATAAAAGAAACTTGCTCTAGGGTACAGAAAACATTTCCAAAGCAGTAAAAGCTGATAATAGTTACTGCTGAATCTTGGATTTATCCAAACATTGTGCCAGGGCCCACCAGATCTATTCTGTTGTCAGACTTACTACGCAGGTGTTGTCAACGCTGTTAACTGTGTTTACGTTTGTGTATGTAGCAAGCTAGCGATGCTGCCAAGACTCCCCGGCTAGTGACCCAGCTCCACTTCACCAGTTGGCCTGATTTCGGAGTTCCCTTCTCCCCCATCGGCATGCTCAAGTTCCTCAAAAAGGGCAAGGCGGTGAATCCACCCTTCTCTGGGCCTATTGTGGTTCATTGCAGGTAGCAGAATGCTGAAATATTTGTTTACTTGGATTTATTTAAAACTAGTCATTTTGAGTGATCATTACTTTTAATGATTTTCATATGGAGGCAAACTGTCAGCTATGGCTGTAAACATTTTGACTATAGCAATAAATGTGTTGTACAAGCACAAATGTCCTTTGTTTCCCTCCTGTTGTCCATGAATATGCAAGCATCAGATGAGGTCTGTGGTTTGCTTTGTCTCTCTGCAGCGCTGGTGTTGGGAGGACTGGAACCTTCATTGTCATAGATGCCATGATTGACATGATGCATGCGGAGCAGAAAGTTGATGTGTTTGGGTTTGTCTCTAAGATACGAGAACAGCGCTCACAGCTCATCCAGACAGATGTGAGTTGGAGATAACTGCGTGAAACATGCTGATAATGTTGCACTAACAAGTGAATTACACTCCTCTCAGTCATCTTTACATGTTCAGATGTGCCTGTACCTAGTGGGCATGTGTTCATGTATTTGTGTGCATCCTCACCTCAGATGCAGTACTCATTCATCTACCAGGCTCTGCTCGAATACTACCTCTATGGAGACACTGAGCTTGATGTGTCATCTTTGGAGGGACATCTGCACAAACTGCACAACACCTTCACAGAGGGTGACCGGGTTGGCCTAGAAGAAGAGTTCAAGGTAAGACATTTTATTTCACAATCTGGCCTTTAAAGGATGGCATTCAATCAGGTGTCTGGGTGCTACACTGCTGCAAACATTTGGTTATGCTAGTGATACAACTAGATTACAAGTTGTCCAGAAAAAAAAAAAAATCACTTTTTGATTAGATCAATACATCAGTGATGATGTACTCTAAAAAGTGGAGAGGATGTCACCTGGTCATTGGGTCAGCTGTCCCAGATGCATATTCCTATGCAGTTAGCAGTAATGATTACCCCAGATGGCTATTATCTAGTGTTTCCTTTCCTTCTGACTCGGAGATGAGCATGAAAGGTTATTTGACTGCACTTACGTTTATTCTCTGCACTCTGAGGACAAATGATTTGCCCCAGTAACAGTTTAACATAACCTTTCCTTTCCCCAAATCTCAATAACAGAGACAGTAGAGTCACTATACCCACTGTTAGGGGAAATGCAACAAGTAAAAAAAAGTTCTTTTAATACAAAGTCATTGCCCAACTCAAATTTTTTTTGTTGTGCTAAATAAAGAGTTAACATTACAAGTGACTTCCTCTACACCTACAGCAGATCTGCTTCCTCAGAAAGTGAGTAAGGCACTTGATGCTCTTAAGCCAGTTTAATTACTTGATGCCACAGTCAGATTATTTCATGTTTTCATTGTTCTGACCCTGGTACCCAGCCCATGCCTCCTTAGAATTGAATAGCTGCTGATAAACCATATCAGGTGCAGGAATTGTTAAATTAACATAATTTTAGCTAAAAATAACAATCACTATACTCACTAATGCAAGAAATGTGTCCGAGGTCAGACCCCTTGAACCAAACCACTCAAAGCTGAAACCTGCTAATACATATTTTTCTGGTTTAGTGATAGTAATGCCACATTTATACATCTATGATTTATAATTAGCTAACTTATTTAATCTGTTTCACTCTGTAAGCAAAAAAAAAAAACTGAACACTTGCAGATTTAAAACATTTTGCTTGGTTTCTGCCCAGAAACTGACCAATATGCGAATAATGAAAGAGAACATGAGAATGGGGAACCTTCCTGCCAACATGAAGAAGAACAGAGTCCTGCAAATTATTCCATGTAAGAAAAAAAGGAAAACCATATTACACAATGCTACAACTTTTTCCCCACCTGTACTCCGCAGCATTCAATAACGTATTTTTCTCAGAACCTACTCAGGCTGCTTTTTATACCCAATGTTTACGAGCTGCTCTACTCCCATTTCAGATGACTTCAACAGAGTAATTCTCTCCATGAGAAGAGGTCAGGAGTTCACGGATTACATCAATGCATCTTTTATAGATGTAAGCTATTTTTTTTTTTTTGCCATACCTCTACCATTTACAGTTGGCGTAGTTGGTAGGTGTTTCTACTAAAGCACATAATTGGACCATTAAAGATGTCTGACTTTTGCTGTGACCCAGGGCTACAGACAGAAGGACTACTTCATTGCCACCCAGGGCCCTCTGCCACACACAGTGGAGGATTTCTGGAGAATGGTGTGGGAATGGAAATGTCACTCCATTGTCATGCTCACCGAGCTCCAAGAGAGGGAGCAGGTAAGCTGTGATGGTCGACATGGACAAACGAGCTATGATTGATAGATTCAATAACTACCACAGCAGTGCAACATAAACCACCCCTGTGCTGATTCCCTGCTTCTGTCACAGTTAATATTTGTGCTGCACTTTTAAGCCAAGAACTACTGCAGAGTACTTTCATTTCATAAGCCATGGTTTCTGTTAAACTTATTACAGAGACACTTACTTCCTTTTTTTTGTCGGCTTTTGCAGGACAAATGTTGCCAATATTGGCCCACAGAGGAGTCAGACACCTATGGAGACTACACCGTAGAGCTGAAGGGAGACACTTTGTGTGACACCTTCAGCCTACGGGACTTGGTACTCACATTTACCCGGGTAAGCAAATTAACCTTGCACTATCACACAGCTGTTAATAAGACAATAACGCCACATCACATTTGATTCAATTACATTGAAATTAAACAACTTTAAGTAACTTTGGCTCTGCTTTAAATCATATGTCAGTGTAAATTTCATTTTCCTCATGATGAATTCATTGTAAAAACCTCCAGTGGTGGACGAAGTATTCATATACTAAAGTACAGATTCAATGATGTAAACATGCTCCATTAGAAGTTCTGCATTCTAACATAAAAAAGTAAATGTATTATCAAAGTTTGTATGTAAAATAAAAAGCACGTTATACAGAATGAGGTGACTGACGTTATAAAGGCGAGTGTTTTTATAGCACGTTTTCCTCCACAGGCAATTCAAAGTGCTTAACAATGCACACAGAGATAAAACTAGTATAATTACAACAAAAGCAACAATTACTGTTACTGCTCCCATTACACTTTGTACCACTTTACCCCAGTCTTCCCAAGACTAACGTCTGAGTAATTTCCACCGGAAGCTTCCCAGAAACTTTTAGAATAGCGTACAAGATTGTCAGTAACATTTTACTGCTGTAGTTGGTTGAGATGGAGCTAGTTTTAACTACTCTAGTACAGTTAGGTAGTTTAATCAGGTTCCCAGTGGAGGGGTTTTGCACCTACATTAACTCCCCAGAAGAGCCAAAAGATAAAAGAGCCACAGTGACAAACCACATGGCTCATGAATATTCATGACAAGCCACCACAACTTGTGCCCCTCTACCACATGCTCACGCAGTGATGTCGCCTTTTGGTAGTCCCAGCACAGGCCACTGTGCGAGTGAGTGTACAGCAACAAGGCAGAGCTATCACTATGGTGAACTGATTGTACAAGGTACATTGAGTGCTTTCTAGTTAATCCCGTTAGGCTACATGTTGCACAGTCTCTTCAGTGAAATACTGTAATAGCTGCATTCATTACTCAGGTTGGGTGTAAACAAACAGCACTACTGGCATCTGTAGGGAATACTACTAAACCTTGTGCAAGCACCTCACGATTAGGATATGAATAAAGCAATTTCAATTCATTTGTGTACACAATCTGTACTTGAGGCATTTTTGAAAAATTAAATATTAAAATTTTAAGCATAAGCCAATTATGTCTGCACCTCATTAACTCCTAAATGACTCCACAGTGATAAAAAATGAGGCAACATCAGTCGACATTTATGCAAACAAAAAACAAACATCTATGCATCTCTGTTTTTCAAGTTGTCACTATTTATCTGATGTGTAGTGCTCATAATTTGAAAATGAATGAATCAAAAATGTTTGTTTTTCTGGCACAAATGTGCACATGCATGACTTTGAGCTCATTTGCATGTTAACGAGTGCTGAGGCCTGTGCTTAATTAACTCCTCAAAAATGGTGCAAGCATACATTTTAATTTTACATGCACAAACAAATCAAAATGTTTTATTAATGTCCTGATCACATGGGGTGCCAGCTTAAAAGAGGTGCAAACTGGTGCAATATTAAATTAGAACAAATATGCAGATTCGTTCAGGCCGAGTAGGTAGGTGTGCTCTCTTCATAGACAAAAAGAGGAGAGAGAAAAGGTGCACAGTGATAGGTCAGGAGAGTGGAGGCTTAGTACTACATCTATCTGGGCCTCCAGAGCCCTTCAAGTGCCAAAACATATCAAGGCCAATATGAACAACCACATCTAGTGACTGTAAGGTCATTTTGAGCTTTCATCCCCAGACACAGTGCACACTTGCGGACATACAAAATTCCTATGGGAAACACCGCTCATCCAACCATTTAAAAATTAATTCTTGCATTAGCATTTCTATAGGAGTTATAGAAAGTACAAGACTTTGTAAAGCTACACAGGAGCTAACATACAATAACTATCTCAGAAGAAACAACAAAAACCAATAAAGCTCTTTTAGCTGCCAGAGGAAATATGGTGAATAGGATGTGCTTAGGATGATCAAGTAGGAGCCTCCTATCATATATATTTCATTAAATTCAACCCGCATCACCTCTGAGGCTCAGTAGTACATTCTTGCCTCCCGGAGCAGCACTCATCAGACCTCATCTCATCTGCTGCACACTTACTGTAACCTACACTGTGTACCTGCCATTATGCGTTCTTATGCTACTAATAAATCATATTTGAAAGGCATTATGTTCTCTCATCTGCCTGTGCATTTCCTCTGAAAGGAGAAGCAGACGAGGGTGATCAGGCACTTCCACTTCCACGGCTGGCCAGAGATTGGCATCCCCGCCGAGGGGAAAGGCATGATCGACATCATCGCCTCAGTGCAGAGACAGCAGCAGCAGTCTGGGAACCATCCCATTGTCGTACACTGCAGGTAGCATCAAATCACTCATTTAGGCACATATTTGGCCAAATTTGTGTCGTCACGACAACTTAAAATGGTACAACTTTTATACTCACTGACCAGTTTATTAGGTACACCTGTACAATTTATATGCAATTCAATGCAACACTTCCGATTTAATATCTGTTTATGAAGCCCAAAATGTTTGTTTTTGGTGAAACTGTCATAAATGTATAAATTCAATTATATGTGACGCGTCACAATGAGTCGCTTACATCTAATAAAGGGGCTGGTGAGTGTATGTGTTCGTGACACACAGTATTGGATCGGGACATTTCTATGTCATCTTTTAATCTCCATGAGTTTGTTTTTGTGTGTGCTGCAGTGCTGGTGCAGGGCGAACAGGTACATTCATCGCACTGAGCAATATCTTGGAACGCGTCAAGGCAGAAGGGCTGCTGGATGTGTTCCAAACTGTCAAGAGTTTACGCATGCAGAGGCCTCATATGGTCCAAACAGTGGTAAGTGTCAGCAAATCTGAAGTGCTAAAAATGCCATTTATCTCCTCCACCTCTATCTCCACGGAAGTCAGTACTGATTTGCAGCTTACCACTTAATCCATCTTCTCTGTCCCCCACCTCACAGGAACAATATGACTTCTGCTACAGGGTGGTACAAGACTTTGTGGACATTTTCTCAGACTATGCCAATTTTAAATGACAAGATTTGCCTTAAACATGGTTTTTAATATTGTTTTCTAAAGCTGGTTTGTCAGTTTTATTCTTTAACTTGGTCAAATGATCTATTTTGCTATGCACTTGTCCTACCATTAACAAATCCCATCCTCGCTGTAATATTAGTCCGTGAATGAACTGTAAGTAAAAAAAGAATAATGTATATTTCACATTATGTATTATTATTTTGTCATGAATTGTTTAAAATCTTTTTCTGTTTTGTTGTATAATACTGTACTTTATATGTTTGTGTTATTTTGGGCTGACCACGTAATATTTTTAAAAAGTTGTAGTTATTGTAAATGTATTTATGTATTGACAATGACATTCCAATCGTAAGTTTAGACAACATGATAGGAAGAAGATTTTTTTCTTTACATTTCTTGCATTCATTGATAACGAAACTATTTTTCATTGTCCTCGAGCTACATGCCCTCCATGAATGTGGAAATACTGTCGGAAAAAGAGTGAAATCTCTTTAGCCGTAATGCAGAAAACGTCAAGTTATGCAAGAAAAGCTGAGGTGTCAATTTCTAAAATGGTTAGGCTGAAGTTTCACAGATTTGTCACAGGTTGTGAAAAACCATTCAACTGGTTTTGTACCTAGGAAAATGGTAAGCAACTGTTAGTTAACACAGATATAATGTTACAGTCTGCTGTTTGTCTGTGGACAGACTGAAAATTAAAAAGCACATAACTAAGCCTTTTGCCAAGAACCCACAATACTCATGACTATGTTCGTTGCTTTATTTGTACAATAATAGATTTTTCACAAATCAGTGCCATAAGTACTTAAGACACAAACTAGAACAACGCTAAACTGAAGGCCGAGCATCAACTGGTTATCCTGTGAAAAGGTAAGTGTGGTCACTAAATGCAGCATTACAGTTCTGTGACTTGTCAGATGCACAACTACAATAACACATAGTAAAAGCAACAAGGGAAACATCCCATAGCAATGTTCAGTTTTTTTTTTTTTAAGGATAAACGGGGCTGTTTTTCCACAAAAAGGTCAAAATAAGAAACCAGACTGTTCGAAATAGAAGTTTCTAGTGTTAGTTTTGTTTGTTAGAAAGTATCTGAATGTGAAAATACTTTTATGTGCATTTTTTTTTCTAAGGCAGTAATACCTATGTGGTACTCAAACATTAAACCAAGCATTTGAAAGAATCTGCCCCAGCTCTACTTTAATCCTCAATGAAATGTGTAATATTGATGATGCTGCATGTAAATATTGCTGTACATGACAAGTGCTAACGTTGTGAAAGTCCCTGGGCAGCAAGGAGGCATAATATTTTCTGTGGGAGATACGAGGTACAACACAGGAAAAGACTTAAAATAACCCAACACTTTTCTCATGCCTTCTTTCCATCTTTAAAGAACACTGAGGGTCTCTTTAGCCTGCAGCTCTTTCTGTGGGTGGTCTATCCCCTTTTGGATTCTCACTGTCTTTGAAATGCAAGTTGCAATATTCAGTTAATCTGAAAAATTACATTACATTATGGCTGCAACTGCCTTTGACATTTTCTTAATAGATTCATAATTTGGTCTAAAGAAAGCCATGAAATACTGAAGTATCAACTTTATTTCAGCACCTAAACACATTCAGCTTAAGATAATGCACAAGTTGAGAAGCAGCGGTACCTCACATTTGTGAAGTGTGTTTGTCATTTAGCTACAGTATAGTGAGCTGAAGACAAATCACCAAACCAGAATAACTTTGGATTCAATACCAACAAAGAAAGTAGAAACACAAATTAGGCAGATGCACAACAACTAAAACTGCAACCTCCAAAAGGACAGAAAACCCTCAAAATGATTCAAAACATGCATAGTAACAGAGAGGCTCAGTTTTTCCTGTCTACTCCTGCATAAAACTACACCAACAATCAGCAGCTGGCCATCACTGCAAAGGTCAAGTAACATATTTAGAGCCATAAAGGCAAATCGGTAAACAAGATCCAACAGGGGGCAGTGCACCTCATTCCACATGTAGAGTCTCATACAGTCATACTACAGTATTAGTCCAAACTTGGTCTATCCTTTAGCTGACCAAAGAATGAGCGCTGCTGTGATGACATGAATATGAAAGCAAAAGCTGCTCTAGGCTGTGAATTATGCAACTACTCCTACATGTCAGTATGAGGAAACTGGTTCAGATGATAGGTCAAGAACATGAAACTAATGTGGTTGTTAATTGTGCAAATAAAAATTGAGAAACTTTGACATTAATCTGGTTCCTCAAATTATTCAAATGCATAGATCATTTTAAAAGCAAAAAAAAAAAAAAAAAATTCTTACTCCATACTTTGACAAAATGCTTCTTTCACACTTATCTCTACAGAAGAGTATTAGGGCCACTGCATAATTTTTTTTTTAATTCTAACTTTATTCTCAGAATTCTGACTTTAATTTCAGAAGTATGGGTACCTGTAGGGATCCAAGTTCAGTGAGTGCCTTTGAGTCATGCTGGAGAGGAGCTACGTGCTGCCCAGAAAATGTCGGATTTAAGTGAATTTTTGCGTGGTCGAGGAGTCCCAGAAGTACGGAAGAGTATTAGGGCCACTGCATAAAGAATTTAAAAAAAATTTATGCAGTGGCCCTAATACTCTTCCGTATATCTCAGAAATGTTTCAGCAATTAAAAAAACAATCCTGAATTGATTAAGTTTCAGATCCACTCGAATCAAATTATCTCTGCTGTACAAGAAACTGCTTTCCGCTGATATAGCATTTCTATGGAAACCAGTAAAGCTTTACAGTACGAGCACCAAAAGCAAAAGCACACTTCAGTTATAAGATAGGCATCAAAGTTCCTCTTTCAGAGTGACATGTGATACACGAAGAGAGCAAAGAAACTTTGACATTCCCAACAGAAACGTGCATTTCTCCAAAACCCTTTTCTCACAATTGCTACCAGTTAATACAAGGTGGAGTAAATTTGAGATATTTCAGCCAAACAATCATGTTTCTTATCTTTCAGAAAAACCCAAGTCACATAAAGCCTCTTTGTTGACCATTTCCACTTCCTCAGATACCCGTTGCCATGGCAGTGCTCCTCAACAGGGGAGGCTGTAGGTCAGCAGGAGTGAATAGGACATATGAATTATTTATTAACCCTAACTGACACACTTATTTTGATTGACCCCTAACTAATTCTGCTCCATCATTCACAATGCTTCTTATTTTCTATCTAATATACAATGGAACATGAATAGTTTACTAGCAGGGTGGCCTGAACTGTGACCCCTCTGATGAAATACTTTCACGTGTGACTTGGGAAACTAATTTCTGATTACACAGTGTCTTTTCTTTTCTTTGGTCCTCACTTTATCCCAAACACTGGCTCTTGTATGGAACAAATTAGTAAGAATGTAGCATTTGTAACTGCAAACATGTAGCCTAAATTCATGTGGTTGATATTGCTGGTATAAGACTAGCCCCAGCTTTACATCTACTAGAGTCACAGAGATGATTCTTCTGTAAACATGCGAAACTGCTTTAACCCCGTACCATCGCTTCATAACACTCACCCAAATTCTGAATTCATTTCCCGAATCCTCAGACACTTCTAATGATGCGTAATTAGAAAGTAATCTGGTCCAGGCCAGGAAAATTATTTTAACCAGTTTCTCAGGTCATGTGGTTTCTTTTCAGTTAAGCAAACATGGCGATGAGAAATGATGCCGTCTCTCTTATTTTGTGAAAGTTGAGCACGAATGGATTATTGAAACCTACGGCATTATTGAAATTGTTTAAATACATTCAGGAAGTCGAGCTGCTTTCACACAAAGGCAGAGACACGACGTCATTTCCTGTCACCATCTTTGCTTAAACTGATTAAATGATATTTTTCCTGGAGTGGACTGGATTATTTTTGATTCTGATTAGGAGAGAATTCGGGAAATCCCTTCAGAACTTGGGTGTGTGTTAAGATATGATGGTACGGGGTTAAATCGGTCAGCAAGTACCAGTTTCACACATTGAAAGATGATCTCCCTGACTCCAGTGTATGTTAATGCATGAGTGTCACAAGCTGGGGCTAGTACAGGACGAGTTTACACCCACTAGCAGCTCAGTGAGGCTGTACATATAGGCACAGCGGCGCTTTGAGTAAAATGCTAACATGCTCACAACTACAATACTAACCAGCCAGTATAATGTCCACCATCTTAGTTTTGAATGTTAGCATGCTTATATAGTGTATGCTCAATAACACCAAATACAAACTACAGGTGGGGCTGATGGGAATAGTTTTGAAGGTAAACCAAAGTACTGGGCAAACTGAAATGCCAGTAGAATCATGCATGTCCTCTGTCTGCCCCCGATTTCATAGTTATCATT